TAAATAGGTCCTTGTTCATTGTCCTGCCAAACCATCACATTTTATGATCATGTTTTAAAAATATGTATTTTATTAATTATGCTTTTACAGATCTATTTCTTTCCTCCCCTTTATTCCCCTCTACCCTACACCGCCCCCCCAAAGGGGGGAGCAACATTTCCTGCCCTTTAGTTCATGTCTATGGGTTGTGCATGTGGCCTTTTTGATAACTCTTTTATTGCAATTAAATAAATTGACATTCTAGGTTTTTTTGTACAAGGTCTGTCCAAAAAAAGCCCAGCTGTTGTTAATATAACGAGAACAGTGTGCATGATACTGTTGTAACTTGGCAGCGAAGGAGAGTGGACTGGAATGTGCATGCATGAACCATGAGGACTTCACTGTACTCTAGTCAGTGGGGGCAGTAGACACTGTTGTGTGAGGATGTGTGCTGTGTGGCCATCACACTCAAAATGACTGAGTAGAGCAACGAATTTGCATCAGATTTTGCTTTAAGCTTGAACATTCCTCTGTGGAAACTGTTCAGATGATTTAGAAGGCTGCAGCTATGGGCAGTTGGTTATTGACAGCCTTATCACAACAACTTGCCCGTCGTGCAGAGTTTTTTGGCGAAACATCGAATCACCCTGGTGACTCAGGCCCCTTATCGCCCAGATTTGACACTCTGTGACTTCTGGCTTTTCCCAAAACTAAAATTACCTTCGAAAGGGAAAAGATTTCAGACCACTGAGATTCAGGAAATATGATGGGGCAGCTGGTGGAGATTCCAGCAAAGTATTTAGTGGAGTGTTTTGAACAGTGGAAAATTTTGAATAAAGGTACTTGATATGAATCTTAATTTGTGGACCCCAGAAGATTCATTTAGTGTAAACCCCATAAGGAATTTATCTGCTGAGATGGACGTCCCATGGTTAACTAGGGCCCAAATTTTATAAATAATAAGAGCCTAATGGCTGTTTACTAATGGGCTTCCACATGCTCTCTATACTGGGAAGAAAGTCAGACTGAACTCAGCTTCCTGCACTTATTTACACAGTCTGATTCAACAGCTGCAGGGAAATCCTGGTTTTGTCTTTTGACCCAGGGACTGAGACCTGGCCCCTCCAAACAGAACTGCTTAATTTGAGTACCTTGTTTACATAAAATGGACCTAATTGAGAACTTTGGTGGGAACTTCTGCTATAAAAGGTGGCTTCCCCTTTGTCCTTGGGTGGAAAACAATATAAGTTGCTAGAATCAGTGCCTTCTGGGCTGAAGCTCATTTTTCAAATAAATGCTTTTTATTCTTTATGACAGTCTAAATTTTGATTTACAGTTTTCTTGGATTACTGTATATTTTTTTATTCCCATCCTCCGCACCTCCCCTTTGGTAACATCAGATTATTCTCAATATGAGTCTGTTTTGTTTACTCGTTTTGGTGTTTTTTTAGATTACACATGTAAGTGAGATCATACAGTACTTGCCTTTGTCTGACTTATTTCACTTAGCATAATACCCTCTAGATCCATGTTGTCATGAATGGCAAAATTTTATTTTTTTATTGCTGAATATTATTCCATTGTGTGTGTGTCTATTATGGGGACTAAAAAAATGTATTAATACTTCCCCTCTCACCTTCTAAATTCTTGTCTGGGCTAATAATCAAATTAATAGATGCATATTAACAGAAAATCAAGTTTCAGTACATATGCATGGGGAATTCATACAGCATGAACATTCCAAAGACAGGGAAACATTGGGTATGTAAGACATTTTGGACAAATGAGGAAGTGAAACCAGAGGGCAACTGAGTCTGGGGCTTATCCTGCCTGTCATAGCTCAGCCAATAAGCAGACACAGTGATTGGATTATAATTGCACTTTTATTAATATCAGAGACCAGCAATCTGAGAAGGTGGTGAGTAAAAACCCTAATGTCCACCTTCCCTTGAGCTTTGAGAAGCAAGTTTATATAGAGGAAACGTGGGAATTTGGGAGGGGGAAATTCCTAGGGAAAGCTCATACTTGTGGTTTCTCTCAGGAGTAAGGGGAGGGAGAGCTGAAAGGGAAGTTGCACAGCTTCTTTTCAAGCTCCTCCCTTTGTTCAGGTGTTACCTCTCTGTATTAGCATTCCTTTCTTCCCCACACCTTTTCCTTTATGGCCAGTGAAACTACACATTCTCTGTTTAGGGAGAAGTGTAAAACATTTGCTCTTACTTGTCCTTGGTTAGGGGAGATAAGGTCTTGTGAATCAAATTACAGCTGGCTGTAAGTTGTTCAAACGGTTTGTTCTTGTTTAATTTTCTTGTTTCGGTTTCCCCATTCTACTTGCCCAGGAATTTTTATAGCTTTTTATTATTCTGTCTGAAAAGGAGGCAGGGTGCATCTTAGATTTGAGAAATGAAAGTGGGCCATTTATAGGTACTTGAGGGAGAGAGGAAAACCTACATGGCAGGAAAATTCTTGCTAGGCAACTCAAGCAGTGGGACTCATGTGGTATCTAGCTAACTGGCCCCATCTGAATCCTTCTATTTACCACTTAATTCAAATCAGGCTAAGGTGAAATCCTAAATCTCCTTCCTGAAGCAGTTTTCTTTTTCTGAATCTCTTGGGCGGGGGGAAGTGGAGATGGTCAAAGTTTCTTTCAGAGTCTTGTTTCTTAATAAACAGCTTAAAGTCAGTATTCCAAAAAGCAGCTTCAGAGTGGCAAAACTTTGGTTTCCTCACACATACACACATTCCAGATCTCTATCCATTCATCTCTTGATGGAACCTAGGTTGCTTCTTTACTAGTAAAGGTTCAGTGAACAGAGAGGTACAGGTATCTTTTCAAATAAGTGCTTCTGTTTTTTCAACTAGTCCATGGTGAAATGTATGAATTGTATGGTAGTTTTATTTTTAAGTTTTTTTTAATTTTTAAAAAATATGTTTATTGATTTTAGAGTTGGGGGAGAGAGAGAAAAACATCAATGTGAGAGACACATTGATTAGTTGCCTCCCATAACACACCCCAATCAGGGATTGAACCTGCAACCAAGATATGTTCCCTGACCAGGAATTAAATTCCCCACGTTTTGGTATGTGGGACGATCCTCCAACCAGCTAAGCCGCTCTGGCCATTTATCTTTGCCTGAGGAAATGCTTATTGATTTTAAAGAGAGGGCAAGGGAAAGGGAGAGAGAGAGAGAAAGGAACATCCAGTGGTTGCTTCTTATATGCACCCTGACAGGGGTTGGAACCTGTAACGTAGGCATGTGCCCTGACTGGGAATCATACCTGCGACTTTTTGGTTTATGGATTGTGCTGCAGCCAACTGAGCCACACTGGCTAGGTCAGGCCAGGGCTCTAATTTTAAGCTTTTGAGGAATTTTCATACTGTTTTTGAGGAATTTTCATAATTTTAAGCTTTTGAGGAATTTTCATACTGTTTTGAGGAATTTTCATACTGTTTTCATAGTGGCTGCACTAATTTACAGTCCCGCTGACCATGTCCAAGAGTTACATGTATAAGAGTTTCCTTTTCTCCACAACCTGGCCAGCATTTGTTAACCATTCTGACATTGTTGTTTTGAATTTACATTTTCCTGATGATTAGCGGTGATTTTGAGCATCTTTTCATGTCTCTTGGCCATCTGTTTGTCCTCTTGGGAGAAATGTCTATTCATGTCCACTGCCAATTTTTTTATTGGAATTTTTTTTTTTTGGTGTTGTTACAGATCTTTGTATACTTTGGTTATTAACGCCTTACCAGATGTATCATTTGCAAATTTTCTCCCATTCAGTAGTTTGTATTTTGCTTTTGTTGGTTTCCTTCATGGTGCAAAAAGTTTTTAGTGTCATATAGTTTTAGTGTGATATAATTCCATTTTTTCCCTTTTGCTTCCCTTGCTCAAGGAGATACTGTATTTAGCCAGGTTTAATGTGCTCCCATGTATAATACTCACCATGTTTTGTGCACATTATACATAGGATTACTATACCCAGTATGACACCCATGGTATGTAATCATTATACCCATGTATAATGTGCATCCGTACTTTTCCCTGAAAAATTTGGGTGAAAAAGTGTGAATTATGCATGGCAAAATATGGTATATTCAAAGAGATAATGTTAAGAGCAATGTCAAAGAGTTTACTGTCTATGATTTCTTCCAGGAGTTTTATAGTTTCAGGTCCATTAGTTAAGTCTTTAATCCATTGAGTTTATTTTTGTATAGGGTGAAAGAAAGTGATTGAATTTCATTCTGCCTGTCCAGTTTTGCCAACACCACTTATTGTAGAGACTGGCTTTACCCCATTGTATATCCTTGCCTCCTTTGTTGTGTTGTAGATTAATTGACCATGTAAACAGAGATTTGTTTCTCAGCTTTCTATTCTATTCCATTGATTTATATATACATATATATATATTTGCAGCACCATACTATTTTGATTATTGTAGCTTTGTAGTCTAGTTTGATACTCGGGAGCGTGATATATCCTACTCTGTTCTTTCTCAAGATTTCTTTGACTAATCCAGGTCTGAATAATAAGTTTACTTTGGAATCATTGATGATAACCAAAAAGTAGATTAGAAATATTGTAAAACTTCATTGTAAATTCCTAGTCTATAAATTGATTTATGCTGTGATTCAGTTTATGTCTATTTATGTAAGTCAATTTTTATATTCATTAATATTATAATCTTTTGCTGCTCTAATACCACTAATGGGTCTTTTTCATTAGATTTGAGGAGAAAACTAAATGATGGATTCATTCCCTTGTTTTTAAAAAAATTAGCACCGATTAAGAAAGAAAAGTCTCTTTGACATTCTTCCTTTCAGCTCTCAGTGGGAACCACTTAAGAAGCTATTCTGTAAACATCTTACGTAATTTGTCATTTGCCAGAGTGTGACAGGATGTAATTCTGAGAGTGAGCAAGCACATAAAACATTTCACAGCATCAGCTTATTTATTGCATATTATTCTGAAACTACATGCTTAGCTTTTTAGTGAAAGAATTTATTTTTTTTTCTTTTATAGGAATATATTTGTCCCAGATGTGAATCAGGCTTTATTGAAGAAGTGACAGATGATTCCAGGTATTGTACAAGCTCCTGAATAAATCAGGAATTCTGTTATCAAAATTATTTTCTCTCAGTATTGACTGAATGACTAGGAAGGAATTTGTTTTGTAACATACTCTCTGCTGAGAGGAAGGTGGGTGAGTTTGGAGAGGGAGAAAAGTGGAATAGGGAAGAAAAATGGGAAAATTTGGAAACTGATGCTACAGTGGGTGTGATGAGATAGATTGTTTCTGATCATCTGTGACATTTCTTAGTAACCTATATCCATAACAGAATAAATCTGGTAAGTTTTGGTTTATTTTCTGAGACTTTAAGGTTGTTTTATGTTATTGATTATTTTTTAGTGACCACTCTGTTTGATGCTAAACTGCAGTTACACCTCCTTGGTGGACTGAGAGTGACATCTGACACAGATATTTAATAAAGAGGATATTTTCTAGCTGAGAAAATTGAGTTATTCTGCCTTGAGGAAGCCTTGAGTCCTTGTTCTTACTGGAATTATTGCCAACAAATGTATGCCATCTTCCTACTATAATATTAATATTTGGATTTGTAATGCTTGAAATTAGCTCTTACTGATCTTAGTAAAGGTATAAACCTGTAAAAAGGGGAACTATTTCTTGAAATGACTATTATATATTATTTCTTGGTTAATATGAACAGAACTATAACAACTTAATAGAAAGTAGAGTAGCATTGAGAAGATGGCCTTTTTGGCTAAACAGTGGCACATTTATTTGTCGCTGTATGGTTAAACATTAGTTGGACAATTGAAGTACTGACTGGATAAAAACCTGTATTCTGAAGCTTTTAATCTTGATTTTGTGGATTTTAATGGCAGTACATAATTCCTTTACTGTTGCTGCTGCCAGAATCTAAATGTGAAGGTCCCTTCTACAACCAGGAAAAACTACACATTTTACAGTATGTGCTGTTAGTTTAACTTTATCAATGATTGGTGATTTTATGTACGAATGAGGAACAGTATATGGCATGGGATCTAGTTTGTTATAAGCACTTAAATGTTGATCTTGTAATCTTGGTTTTCAGTACACAATACCAACTCTAAATGTATAAGATTAGCATGATAGCAAAATTAGCAATTACGTGTGTCATGGATGGCATGCTAATTTGAGTAGTTTTTTATTTGTGCTTATAATTGCATCAAATACTTATTTCAAGTACTTAGGCTCTGCATGTGTTAAATAAAAAGCATATTGGTTGGCAATTAATGGCTGTACTTTCTCTAGTTTTAAAAAGTAATTCTGGTTTCGTTAGGCCTGTATACAAAGCATGGTTATAAATGAGAACAGTAATTGCAGGATGAATCTATTCTAGCAGGGAACTATGAATTCTATGGATCCTGCTCTCATATGACTTAGTAATTGTTTTATTTGTGCCTTGTAGATTAAAACTTTTGCTGTTGATAGCAAGTACTGCAATGCAAAGATTATATCTTTTGAAAGATTAGTTTTTAAACGGTTGAAGAAATCGTTTTTTTCTTTTTTTAAAAAAAGATTTGTTTGTTTTTAGAGAGAGAGGAAGGAAGGGAGAGAGGGAGAGAAAAATAAATGTGCAAGAGAAACATTTGCCTCTCAAAAACCTGCATCTGGAGACCTGGCCCGCAATCTAGGCATGTGCCCTGACTAGGAATCAAACCAGTGACCTTTTGGTTTGCAGGTCGGTGCTCAATCCACTGAGTCACACCAACCAGGGCATTTTTCTTAATAATCATTGTCTTAGAGGCAGCATGGTCTTTTCTTCTACAGAGTTCATAAACATTTGCAGATTTGAATACTTACAGTGGTAAGTAGTGGATGATAAAATTTAATGAGGAAATCCTTACATGTCAATATTGGATGATGGGTCCTGTATGCTACTAGACATTTATCAGGAGAGGCACCTTGTAAATTTTCTGAAGCTTTGTAACATTTCTCAGAATAGAATGTGGTGGTTTTTATTATCCCTTCTCTCTGATTAGCCCTATCACTCTTAAAAAATACAAAGGAGTTTTAAGGAAAGGGGGGTTGCTGATGGATATTAAGGCGGAGCAGAACTCCAAAATGGCTTTAATTACCAAGACTATTGGAATCCATGAAACCAATGTAGTAAAGGCAGGAAACAGCCTTGGAAGCCTGTCTAGGCTTGACCAACAAAGTGGATACACAGCCATTCAATTTTTTTAAAAAGTTATATGGTAGTTCACTTTCTTATTTGGCATGGATTGCGGGGTACTTTTAGGTTTGTTCTACATCCAAAGTATTTTTGACAAAAGCATTTTAACTTCTGAAACAAATATAGGTGTTAAATAACTTCTAATGAGAAATTAATGTGGCCTGAGGATGGCATATGCTTTTTCACTTTTGCTTCCGAACTAACCACGGTGTGTGTGTGTGTTCGGTAAGCTCAGCATAATGCCTGGATTGGTAATTCTGAAAATGAAAGCTATTTACGTAGCTTTGATTGGGGTGAGTTGTACATGTTTGTGCGCCTATGTGTGCCTCTTGAAGTAAAAGTGGTACCCAGCAGTTCTTATGGTTCTTTTTCCATCTCCCTTTTTCTAAAGCCTTAGCCAGTTTTCTTTCTTTGCAGATTTCATGGCGACAGTATTTCTCCTTGTCTTTGGGAATAGGCAGTTACTTTACTGTTTACACATGTGATACTAACTTTTTCATAACTTATTTTCAAGTTACCAATATAGAATGTGATACTGCAAGGTTTTCAAAACTCATTGTAACAGACGGGTAAGGCCAAATCGCAGTGAGAGGGCAGGAGTAGAGGGGAGAAACCCCAAGGTGGAGTTTAAGATTAAAAGTGCTTTCCCTCCCTGTGAAGGGAGGGACTGCCAGAGGAGGGAGTTTACCCGAAGGAGACAAGCAGCTTGTGACTCAGCAGAAGAGAGCTTGTATAGAGCATGTACAAGTTTCAGTATACTTCTGCCCCCTTGTGCAAAATGGCGGCCAGAAGAGGGGTAAAGGCAAACATGGCCGACAGCCATTATTGGTTGAAAAGGTGGACACTCCCACTGGCTTCCCATGCAAGAGGGATTTTGGAGGAGGACTTTAAAACCAAAGATGGGCAGAGGTCTTGCTCTTGCTTTGCCCTGTACGGGCCGGAGCAGCAGATGCTGGGACTCTTTGGGGTATAGGCCCCACATGTTTGGAAGGCAGCTCTAGGAGGCAGGGTCCCATGCCAGGATGTAGGCCTTATTTGGTGCCAGCTTTTTATATACTGAGACCCTGTGCAGCATGGCATGTGGGTCCTGGAGAGCAGTGCACAGAGGCTTAGAGCAACACATGGAGGCATGAGCTGGAAAGTTCTCTGTGAATAGAGCTTTCTCAGCATGGCCATCTGGGGTGACCTGGCAGCATACCCTAGATCTGAGAGGGGAGAATGGGGGTTGGGGGGAGAAAGAGAAGGGGAGAGAAAGATGCTGTGAGGCAGTGGTGATTTGGTACTAGAGAAGGAGAGAGGGCTTGAAGCTGGAGAGATAAGACCCTTTCAAGTAACAACTTTGGGCTACAGATAAGCAATAATGGGGAACTTCTGGACTCGGATTTGGACTTTAATGTTGGGAGTGGCAGGTTTTCTATGCTTTGTAGAAGAGGTCAGTAGGAGGAAGAGTGTTCTCAGCTCCCTCAAACTGGGAACGCTGTTAATAAAAACCTGTTTCCTTCCCCACAAATCTTCCTGTTATATGTGTACGTGGTGACAAGCGTCTGGACCCCATGCTGCCCAGTTACAAGATGAGTGCTCTGCATAGTGTCTGACACATAATAAACACTCTACATATACTTGTATTAATAAAATACAGTCTTTTGGGAGGGGGTAGTATTGATACCAAAGAAATTGACAGATAACTTTTTGCCTCCTCACACAACCAAAAGGACAACAGCAAATTTAAAAACAAAAACAACCAGAACTGCCAGAAAAGGGAACTGTATGGAAGTCTGACAGCCAACGAATTAAAGAAGAAACATTCATCCAGACTGCATTACAACAACAGTGACCATTGCCCTGCTTTGGTGAACACCGAAGGCTCTGCCCCTTACAACATAACAGAAGCAATGAGACACAGAAATATGGCCCAAATGAAAGAACAGATCAAAACTCCAGAAAGAAATACAACTAAACAATGAAGAGATAGCCAGCCTATCAGATGCAGAGTTCAAAACACTGATAATCAGGATGCTCATAGAAGTTGTTGAGTATGATTGCAAAATAGGGGGAAAAGTGAAGGCTATGCAAAAGTAAAATAAAGAAAAATATACAAGGAACCGACAGTGAAGGGAAGGGAACTGGGATTCAAATCAATGACTTGGAGCAGAAGGAAGAGATAAACATTCAAGCAGAACTGAATGAAGAAACAAAGATTCAAAAAAAATGAGGACAGGCTTAGGAACCTCTGGGAAAACTTTAAATGTTTCAACATCAGAATCTTAGGGGTACCAGGAGGAGAAGAAGAAGAACAAGACATTGAAAACTTACTTGAAAAAATTATGAAGGAGAACTTCCCCAATCTGGCAAAGGAAATAGACTTCCAGGAGGTCTAGGAAACTCAGAGAGTCCCAAAGAAGTTGGACTCAAGGAAGCACACACCAAGGCACAGCATAATTAATTACCCAAGATTAAAGATAAGGAGAGAACCTGAAAAGCAGCAAGAGAAAAGGAGACAGTTCCCTACAAAGGAGTTCCCATAAGACTATCCGCTGATTTCTCAAAAGAAACCTTGCAGGCAAGAAGGGGCTGGAAAGAAGTACCCAAAAGATGAAAGTCAAGGATCTACATCCAAGATTATTCTATCCAGCAAAGCTCTCATTTAGAATGGAAGGACAGATAAAGTGCTTCCCACATAAGGTAAAGTTCAAGGAGTTCATCATCACCAAGTCCTTATTATATGAAATGTTAAAGGGACTTATCTAAGAAAAAGATTACAACTATGAACAGTAAAGTGATAATATAACAAACTCACAACTGTCAACAGCTGAACCTAAAAATAAAAAACAAACTAAGCAAATAACTAGAACAGGAACAGAATCACAGGAATGGAGATCAAGGGAGGGTTTTCAGCAGGGAGGGGGAGGAGGGAGTAGAGGGGGGAAAGGTACAGGGAATAAGAAGCATAAATGGTAGGTACAAAATAAACGGGGAGGTTAAGCATTGTATAAGAAATGGAGAAACGACCCATGGCCATGAACTAAGGAGGTTGGAATGCTGGTGGGAGAGGGTGCTGGATGGAGGGGAATAACGAGGAGAAAAAATGGGACAATTATAATAGCATAATTAATAAAATATACTTTTAAAAAATGACAAACACTACAAATCAGGGCCTCCCTCCACCTGTCCTCCCTGCCAGACAACCAAATTTTAAGCACCTTTTAGCGTATCATAATAGATATTTTTTTCAAGTACTTTTTTTTATATAAGGAAAGAACATGTTGAAAACGTTTAAAAGTCTGTTGAATGCATTTGTTTTCCTTGGTGGAAATAGAGAAGAAGCACTCAATGAAACATGTAAAATATCTTTGCCATCAAGCTGTTTTTTAAACTACTATTTGTCTTTTCTTCCTCAATAATCTGTTTTCTTGATAATCTAGACTTAAGTTTTAACTAAAGTCCAATTCCTTTTAGCTTTCCTCATCAAGTTTAACTGTCTTCTCTGATCTATTCACCCTCCACACCTTTCAAGCCTTATGAAAGAGAGAAGCAGCATTTTTAATGGTAAAGGAGAACCTTTTCAAAGGAAATTACTTAATGGGCAACCAAGCAGAATGGCTAGGTTTGCCTTGACTGGTAACCACTATATCCTGTTAGCTGCTGCTACTTTGACACTCCTAGGCTGTTGAGTGTCAGAGGGAAAGTAGTATACTAAGTCTCTTTTGTTTACACACCAAAAGATTAGGTTCCCTTAAATTCCAGAGGAATTTCAGAAAATTAACTTTTAAATAGAAAACTTCATAGGCTGAGCAGGCTGAAAAAAGGGGGAAAAAAATCAGGTCACCCTCAAGCACTTCCATTAAGGATGAAATTTTAAATCACTTCATGTCTCACACCCATTTGTTGGTGCAAAATAAATCACTTGAACAGAGTGCAAATCAATTTTTTATTAAAAATGTTGTCCTAGTGCTGGCAGTGTTGGTCATTTGCTTGGAGTGAAGCACCAGGGAGTTGTAAGTTCCATTCCCTGTCAGGGAGCTTACCTGGTTTGCAGGTTGATCCTTGTGGGGCGCATATGGGAGGCAACCCATTGATGTTTTTCTATCTACCACCTCTTTCTCTTCCTCTCTCTCTAAAATCAATAAGCAACCTAGGGTAGGGATTTAAAAAAAGTTTTCCTAAGGCTGTCTTCTTTAACTTTAAAAGCACATTTTGTAATTATCAAAGGAAATTCAACATTTCACCCCCAGTCTTCTTCAACTTGTGTTATCAGTTTTAACTGTTAATAAACTATATTAATTTTAAACAGATTATTCTGTTTATAAATTCTGTACTGAGTTATATGTACATTTGTTTATATACAAGGTGAGGTTAAGTGAGTCTTTTTTTCTACCCTTCATTGGTTTTATTTTTAGTAGTTTCTGTCACTTTGGAGACACCTCAATTCATGTCCCTTGTTTGTTAGAAGGTTAGTGTTGTGGGCCTGAAAAGGATAAAAAGAAGTCAGGGATTTTATCCAGGTTTGTGCCTAGCATTGATAACGTTTGACTGTGGGGTGTGAACTTGACTGGAGCTTGTTTTGTTTGTTTATTTTAAGGAAAGTCAAGGGCTAAAAGATAATTTGCTACACTTGGACCACACTCTTAACCTTTATAATTCATTCAGATTTGTTTAAACAGTTAATTTTCTTAACAAGTTGTTCAACAGCCTGGAATTAACCAGGTAAGTGCTTATTATCAACCTCCCTGCCAGGGTAGGCTGTGTAAGCAAATTTTCTCTCATAAGTACAAACAAAATATTCTTGAGATGGAAACATGCTCTGTTTGTATCCACTTTGACACCAAGCTCATTTCAGGAGTGGAGAGCAGTTCCTGCTTGACCAAGAAGTTCTTAGTATATCCTTCTCTTCACCCTAACTGTATCCATATTTGCTGAACCCTCCTCTTGGAGGGAGCTCCCTTTCCCTTACCAAGCATGTCAAATTCTGCAACTCCCTTCCCAACCTCCTAGATGAAATTGACATGCCCTTCTCTTGCTCGTGGCCAGGAGCACCTACTGTATTTTGCCATTTATAATGTGTAATTTTTGCCCACATGTTTTGGGGGAAAGTAAGGATGAGCGTTATACATGGGTAGTACTAATTCCATATCTATATAAATGGTTTTAATTATTTTATTTATACTTACACATTAAAAGTGTAACTCTAGAAAGCAGTAATGATATCCATATGCAAAATAGTGCCCTGGAATATGAAAATCAGTTTTGTTTCTAAATATAAATAAATAAAAAGTTGAATTGAAAGATTAAAACAAAAGACTTTTTTCCTGAAAGGTCGTGCCAAAAAGGTGGGTGTGCATTATACACAGGAGCACATTCTGCATGGCAAAATATGGTATCTTTACCCATCTCCCAAAGTCACCATCCTCATTCTCTATCAGAGGCCTTCTGTGGTACCAAGCATTATTCTGTGTGTTTTACACATGTTAACGTAAATAATCTTCACCACTACCCTATTAAAGGTGCCATTATTCTCACTTTATACATAAGGACATTGAAGCACTGAGAGGTTGGTGCCTGAAAGTCACTCAGCTGGTAGATGACAGCAGGATGACTCCAGGGACTACACTCAAGTGCTCTACCACATCTCCCTGCTGCATTGAGCTAGTTCGCTGCTTAGTTGTTTCTCACATGTTTACACAAATGGTACTAATTTAATAACTTTTATTTTCAAGTTATCAATATATAATATGGAACTTCAGGGTTTTCAGAAGTGATGAGTGGTCTGTATATTGCCTGATACATAATAAACACTGTACTTGTATTAATAAAATACAGTCTTTACCCTCTGAATTTATATTTATGGAAAAAAGGTAAGGGGTGGAAATGAATGGGACAAATTCTAAGTATTTGTAATACAAAGTAGAATTTGAATCAAAGTCAGTGTAGAGGGCTGTGGGAGAATCTCATTTGGTTGGTGAGTTCAGAAAATACTTAATGGGGGAGGTTGCATTTGAGGTGAACCCTGAAAGATAGGTAGGATAATCAAAAAACAAGATAAACTATCAGGAGAAAGGAAAAAAAATATATTGAGTCCTTTTATAATGTGCTAAATATAGTACCAGACCCCTTACATTGTTACATTTAATCATTCCCAAGTAATATTGTTATAATCTCAAATGTGTGTATTTGGTGGCTGAATGGTTTGTTGTTTTTTTTTAAATTTATATATTTTTTAAAGATTTTATTTATTTTTAGATAAGAGAAGGAGAGAGGGAAACATCAATGTGTGTGTGGTTGCCCCTCATTACCGGGAACCTGACTCGCAACCCAGGCAGGTGCCCTAAACTGGGAATCTAACCAGCAACCCTTTGGTTCCCAGGCCAGCACTGAATCCACTGAGCACCACTACCTGGGACTGAATGGTGTTTTAATGAAACATTATTTTGAGGATCTTGTCTCATTTCTTAGCCTCTTTGAGAATAAATGTTTTTCCTCTTTTGCTAAGTCGAATTTGAATTTCATTGCTGGCTCAGTGGGTCCTTCTTCACTGTGGTGGCTTCTCTCCCCCTTTTATCACTTGATCTTTCTTGATTTTGTAGTTACATTTTTTTGTAGATTAATTCACATGACAGATAGTCGTAATTTCCTTTGTAGATGTCATGTTGGGATGAGTTAATTTTCCTTATTGGGCTTTGTTCTCACTGTACCATTCTCAATTTAGCTTCTGGGAGAGAAGCTTGCTCCTGGGAATAGAATCACTTATTCCTTTCTCTCTTTAGTTTTTTAGGTGGTGGTAGTGGCAGCCGGATGGACAGTAGCACATCAACACATTTTGCAGAGGTAAGTTTTCCTTTGGCTGTAGAAATGCTTCAGGTAGTGGGTGGATGTTGAAGACATGACATACTATTACATCACCATGCGGGAAAACTTCAGAATGGATAGGGAAAATATGGGCAACAGTAGCCCTTAGAACGCTTTGTGTTTTCAGCAACTGGGGCTTTGGCATATTAATTCTGGTAAACCCTTGATTGTAATAATAGCCTCTAGCTGTGCTATTTTAAACCTGGTTGTGTTTTCCGTTCTCTTTCTGCTTTATTGTATATAATGGTGTGAAGATAAAAAGCTTGTGTTTTTGAAACAACAGTATGGCAGATTCTGCTTCAGTGACATGATAACAAGTAAAGAGCAGACCAGAATGAATTGTTACAGAAGTCACACTAAGAGGAATTGGTTTCTAGAAATTACCTCTAATGAATATGGTAGTTTGGTATAACTGGAATTAGGAGGCCAGATGAAGGGTGAGATACTTCCTTGTCTTCCAGATCTCAAGTTGGAGCTATAATTAATTTCTAGTTCTTTATATAATGCAGCATCCATATTTGAGGGGAGGGTCTTAACTGTCATTTGAAATAAGGCATTAGTGAGCATTGTTGAATACCATTTCAACAATTTCAAAGTGCAAATTCAGAGTAATTTTCTTTTTTCATTTTACTTATTGACTTAAAAATTTCATGTTACGTTTTTTGTTGGTTTTTTTTTTTTTACCATTTTTTCTGTTTTTAAGTGTACAGTTCAGTGGCATTATATGCTCTGTTTTTATTCATTTAGGGTCTGTAGCCCACCACCTCAGCCTACAAAAAACACCGGTTTGTTTTTGCTCCTATGCCGCAGAGCTTAACTTGCATCTGGAAAGCTAACAAATGCTGAAGGGGGGGGGGGGAGTTAAATCCCATAATCAGAATTTTTTTCTGTTTCAGGATTACATTATCCTCCTACAGAGATAGCTAAAGTGCCTTGAGCTAGGAAAATTTATGGTATTTATATGTGTGTAAATTAAACTGTTTTAGCAGTGTGTTTGAAAAACAGTGTTCAGAATTAGACTTCCGGTCAGGATGGTGGCACAGGTAAACACAGCTCATCTTGCACAACCACATCAAAATTACAACTAAATCATAGAACAACCATCACTCAATCCATCAGAAATTGAGTTCAATGAAAGTCTGACAATTATGGAATTAAAGAAGCCACATCCATCCAGACTGGTAAGAGAGGCAGAGACGCAGAACAGGCTGGTCTCACACCCACAGGTGGTGGATAAAAATTCAGGAGGGATATCTCAGGAGTGATGAGTCCCAGCCCCACACCAGGCCCCCAGCCCAGGGTTCCAGTGACAGAAAAATAAGTCCCTGTAACTTCTGGCTGCAAAAACCACCAGGGAATTAGTTGGTGGAAGAAACTTCTGGAGACCCAAGCAGTTCCTCTTAAACCCAAGCAGAACCCACACATGGACTCACCTACTTAGACTAACTAACTCCCTCTGAGCTCCAGCACCAGGGTAGTGGCAAGAGCTGGGAGGCTGCTTTCTCCCAGATGGAAAAGCCATTGTCCCTTTTCTGAACTTCCCTCCACCATAGAGCCACAGAGTCAGTAGGTGGGTACCATATCTTGAGACTCCATCAACCTGGCTAACACTGTTTGCCCTGCTCTGGATATACCAAGACTCTGTCCCACACAACTTATGGGCCCACACAAGCTGTTAACAGAGACTTTTTCATATGAAGGGCTGAATTTGGCTCCTGCTTCACAATTTCTTAACTTCTCTCAAACAAGCAACAGCCAATCTCAGGGAGGCCCCAGACCCCTTACCTCTTGCTAAGTGGCCCCAGGCATGGCACTCCCAGCAACCAGCCTTATTTACAGTTTGGATTTGCCTGGGAATCTCCAAGTCCAGCACAAGTAGCAACTATTTCAGATTGCTTTATAGCTCAGGCAGGATGACCCTGGGCAAAACACAGGTGGAGGTTGACCTTGACCTGCACCACATGGGAAACCTCAAAGCATGTGCACCCAGAGGACAGCTACGGACCACATCTGAGCACCACCATCCTGCCCCTGCACAGCTCATCCTCCATGGAGGGTGTAGGTTGATGGTCAGTGGTCATAGCCAGTCCTTTCAGCCAGTTGACCTGGATAAATCCCTGCTGTTGGCCTGCCAACAGCAACCAGTGCACAACTACAAGAAGAGGATATACTCTGACCACACGAAGGGCCCACCTCAAGTACCCAGCTTGGGTGATAGTGGAAGCTGTGCCACTGGATCCTACAGGATACCAACTACATTAGGCCATGCCACCAAGATACAGGACAGAGGAGTCCAAGCAGCTCTACCTAATACATAGAAACAAATACAGGGAGGCTGCCAAAATGAGGTGACAAAGAAACATGGCCCAAATGAAAGAACAGATCAGAATTCCAGAAAAAGATCTAAATCAAATGGAGATAAGCAGTCTATCAGATGCAGAGTTCAAAACACTGTTTATAAGGATGATCAGGGAACTTAGTAAGGACGTCCATAGCATAAAAAAGATCCAGTCAGAAATGAAGGAGTCATTAAGTGAAGTACAGAACAATTTACAGGGAAAAACAACAGTAGAGTGAATGAAGCCAAGAACCGAATCATTGATTAGGAACATAAGGAAGCAAAAAACCTATCAGAACAGCAATCAGAAAAAAAGAATCCAAAAAAGTGAGGATAGTGTAAGGAACCTCTGGGCCAACTTTTAGCAGTCCAATATTTGCATCATAGGGGAGCCAGAAGGAGAAGAGAAAGAGGAAGAAATCGAAAATCTATTTGGAAAAATAATGAAATAAAACTGTCCTAATCTGGTGAAGGAAATAGACAGTGCAAGTCCAGGAAGCACAGAGAGTCCTAAACAAGATGAATGCAAAGAGACCCACTCCAAGATACATCATAATTAAAATGCCACAGGTTAAATACAAAGATTGAATGTTAAAAGCAGCAAGGGAAAAGCAGTTACCTGCAGGGGAATTCCCTTAAGACTGTGAGCTGATTTCTCAAAAGAAGGTATCCAGGCTAGAAGGGATTGGCTAGAAATATTCAAAGTCATGAAAAGCAGGGGCCTACAGCCATTATTGCTCGACCTAGCAAAGCTGTCATTTAGAATCGAAGGGTAGGTAAAGATCTTATCATACAAGAAAAAACTAAATGAGTTTATCATCACCAAACCATGATTATATGAAATGTTAAAGGGAGTTATTTTAGAAAAAGAAGATCAAAACTATGAACAATAAAATGGCAATAAATATATACCTATCAACAGTTGAATTTAAAAAACAAACTAAGCAAACAGGAAGAACAGAGACAGAATCATAGATACGGAGAATGTTTTGATGGTTGCCAAATGGGAGATGGGTGTGGGGGAAAGGGTGAAGGTTTGAGGGGATTAAGAAGTACAGGCAGGGCCCTGGTTGGTGTGGCTCAGTGGATTGAGTGCCTGCCTGCCAACCAGGGCATCACTGGTTAGGTCGGTTCCTGGTCAGGGCCCATGCATGGGTTGTGGGCTGGGTCCCCAGTTGGGGGCACGTAGGAAGCAACCGCACATTGATATTTCTTTCCCTTTCTTTCTCCCTCCCTTCTCCTTTCTCTAAAAATAATAAAATAAAATAAAAAAAAGAAAGAAAAGAGAGGTACACATAGGTAGTTACAGAATTGCCGTGGGGATGTAAGGTGGTACAGTATAGGAAATGGAGTAACCAGAGAATTTGTACGCATGACCCATGGTCATGAACAATGGTGTGCGGATTGCCTAATGAGGAAGTGGGGATACTGAGTGGAGGGGAGCAAAGGAGATAAAATTAGGACAATTGTAATATCATAATCAGTAAAATAAAAAAGAAAAGTGTTCAGTAAGAAACTTGTGAACCCTAAACTTTTCTTCTTTATCCTCTGAAAATTATCTTAAGACGTCTCACCCCTGAGGTATATTTACATTGTTAGATTTATAGTCAAGAAAATTGATGAAATGTTTAGATAATAGTCCTGTTTTATTAAGGGTATTTTTAAAAGATTTTACTTACTTATTTTCAGAGCACGGGGAAGGGAGGGAGAAAGAGAGGGAGAGAAACACTCATCGGTTGCCTCTCATACGCCCCCAACTTGGGGCCTGTCATGGGACCCAGGTATGTACCCTGACTGGGAACTGAATCTGTGAACTTTTCGTTTGCAGGCCAACCCTCAGTCCACTGAGCCACACCAGCCAGGGCTATTAAGGGTATTTTCATTTACATATGGTCTGTAGTATCTGGTGGTAAGTTTTTTTGTTAACTCTGAAATCCCTTGGTACATGGGTACAAGACAGATCATGTCCTTGAACTCCCATTTTTATTTTTTCATTTTGATGCGTTGAAAAACATTATTTAAAATTTATTCTGTTTGCTAGGCCTGGAAGTCTTTCTGATGTAGTATTTTTTTTTTTCTGTGTGTGTGATACACAGGTTGTTGCTTACTGATTATGCTTATGCAGAAGAAACTTCATCTTTTTTTTTTAATGTTCTCCATGGAAATACATTGTTTTGTCAGTTTTATAACTATGACTCACCTAAAGGAGATGCATTAAGAAGGAGAACAAATACATGTAGTCTTTTTCCTAACTTTAGTAATGCTAAATCTGACCCTGAGAGCATGAGTTGTTTCTTTAGGTGTTAAAGTAATTTTGCTGAGCCATAGCCTGTAACTCCATGTTCTTTAGTTTGTAGCAATACCCAGTTTTCCCTCTTGTCACCATGGCTGAATATTTCAGTTTTCTCATTGTTAAGCAAAATATTTTACATTTAAAAATTGAAAAGAGTATAGAAGTTGCCAGCGTTTTAAAAAAGTTAGCTAACTACTGTATTTTGCCATGTATAACATGCACTTTTTTACTCAAATTTTTGAGGGAAAAATAAGGGTGTTCATTATACATGTGTAGCACTAAGGGTGCTCATTATTATATGGGCAGCACTAAAATATGGGTGCATGCTGTACACGGGAGCGCATTATA